CTGACAAGTCACCGATCCGGACGCGTTCTGGTGCCGGCCAAAAGAAGCGTGGCAATAAGGAGGAGTCCGAGGAAGGTTTCTCGACTGTTCCTCCCAAGAAGGGGGCCAAGCCTCAGACGAAGGAGGAATTGGAGAAGTTCCCTGATGTTCCTGACGTCCAGGGCACTAATCCTTTTGGGGTATTGGAGAAAGCTGCTTAAGCATGCTCTCTGATTTATCAATGTTCTATCCTAATACAAAAGAACATCTCTCCCCTACCCTCCGACACTTTCCTTCGAGGTCCGTGATGCCCAGGGACTCGCTCTATCGAGAGTTGATTGAGGGTCCCTACATTCCCGTCGTCCCCGTCGTTCAGTCGACGAGATTAGATCCCGCTGGGCTCTCACCGTCGAGCGATCGGTTCCTACTGCTGCCTCTGCTAGCATCCGCTGTGTCTTTTCGGGTCCGCCGCGGCGTAAAGCACAGACATATACAGAGTAGACCATGCAGATAACGTGGTGTATCTCAAAACCTGTTGTCGCCGCCTTATCTGTGTCGATTCTCACGAAACTCTGTTGATTTTATGTTTGTTATGTACATATGTTCCTTTGAGTTTTTGATCCGGGCGTTGAGGGCTTGGAGGTTATCTGGCTGAAAAGAACAAGGTTAGTTCACTTGATTATTATAGATTTATTTAGCAATAAAATAAGAAAATCTCTACAGACACACCTCCACTTTCTTCCTTATTTACACTCTCCTGTATGTAACTACTGGTAGGGGTTTTTGAGGATGGCCCAGTGATAAGCCCAGACCCTAACACTTATACAATTTAGGGTGTCACATGATGTTTATCTAATTAGTTACATCCAGCAGAGTGTGTAAATAAGGGTGTGTCCGTGAAGATCCCCTGAAAGAATGGCTCAATAATGTCACCTCGACGCCATCCCGAGTTCAATCAACTCCTGTACAAGGAGTCCGTCCACGGCAAAACTCCCGCCCGTCGAGACTGTCGAGAACTTTGAGTGGAGGAAAAATACAAGTCCAGCCATCGTGCGGGTTCCCCACAGATGTTGATCTTCTCTACAATTCCCCGCATCGGCCATCCTGGTTATGATCCCGATACCAAATTGTGCCTAATTAGTGATCCTTGCTCCAGTGCGGACTGAAAACGCGGTGGGGTACCGTGTCCTTCGACAAGAATCTAGCGCAACGGACCATACTGAGCATTTTCATTTTCCGGCGGGATGGCTTCTTGGTTCTCTTGGACGCTTTTTATGACGCTTCGGCTTGATTGCAACTGGCAATTGGGTGGCTCTCTAATCAATAATGTCTGTGGCTTGGAGATTTGTGGATGGTGGATTGGCTTGGAAATGTGAGAACCAGCGATTTAAAGTCTTTAATAGCCTGTGCTTGCCATCCCGTTTGCCGACGTTGGAACGTTGCAGCACCTGTCCTTGGAACTAGTCAGCAGCGTGGTGTCGCTGAGGTTCGGTCATGGCGCACATCTACCGACTTCTCCTTCTTCTTCTTTCAAATCTGTGGTTCTCGGCAGCTGCTCAGAACCAGTCAGAGACTGAATGGCCTCTTCACGATAATGGCTTGAGCAAGGTAGTCCAATGGGATCACTACAGCTTCCAAGTCAACGGGCAGAGGATCTTCATCTTTTCCGGCGAATTCCATTACTGGCGCATTCCAGTCCCCGAGTTGTGGAGGGATATTCTCGAGAAGGTGAAAGCTACCGGTTTCACTGCGTTTGCGTTCTACTCTAGCTGGGCCTACCATGCACCCAACAACCGCACGGTCGATTTCTCGACTGGCGCTCGCGATATCACGCCCATCTTTGAGCTTGCAAAGGAGCTCGGCATGTATATGATTGTGCGCCCGGGACCCTACGTCAATGCTGAGGCCAGCGCGGGCGGCTTCCCTCTCTGGCTGACGACTGGCGAGTATGGCTCGCTGCGGAATGATGACCCGCGGTATACCGCCGCGTGGACGCCGTACTTTGCAAACATGTCGCAAATCACGAGCAAGTACCAGGTCACGGACGGCCATAACACGCTCGTCTACCAGATTGAGAATGAGTACGGTCAGCAGTGGATCGGAGACCCGAAGGACCGCAATCCGAATAAGACTGCGGTGGCGTACATGGAGCTCTTGGAAGCGTCTGCTCTTGAGAATGGCATCACGGTGCCATTGACAAGCAACGATCCCAACATGAACTCGAAATCTTGGGGATCGGACTGGTCCAATGCTGGAGGCAATGTCGACGTGGCTGGTCTGGATTCCTATCCGTCGGTGAGTTACCATCCGATTCTTTTAATCTGATCTGTTCTGACGTTTGAAGTGCTGGACATGCGACGTGAGCCAGTGTACCTCCACCAACGGGGAGTATGTCCCTTATAAGGTGATTGATTATTATGACTACTTCCAAGAAGTTCAGCCCACTCTTCCCTCATTCATGCCCGAGTTCCAGGGCGGTTCCTACAACCCCTGGGCCGGTCCTGAAGGTGGATGTCCTCAAGACACCGGCGCTGAGTTTGCTAACCTGTTCTACCGATGGAACATTGGCCAGCGAGTGACTGCCATGAGTTTGTACATGCTGTATGGAGGAACCAACTGGGGTGCGATTGCTGCTCCTGTGACGGCAACGAGCTACGACTACTCCGCTCCCATCTCCGAAGACCGCTCGATTGGAGCCAAGTATTCCGAGACCAAGCTACTGGCATTGTTCACCCGTACCGCAAAGGACCTCACAATGACAGAGGCGATCGGAAACGGAACACAATATACCACGAACACAGCCGTCCGTGCATTCGAGTTGAGAAATCCTCAGACTAACGCTGGGTTCTACGTCACATTCCACAATGACACCACTGTTGGTGGCAATCAAGCGTTCAAACTTCATGTCAACACTTCTGTCGGTGCCTTGACCGTCCCCAAGAACGAGGGCGTGATCCAGCTGAATGGACATCAATCCAAGATCATCGTGACTGACTTCACGCTCGGCAAACGCACTCTTCTCTATTCAACTGCCGAGGTCTTGACCTACGCCGTTTTTGAAAACAGGCCTACGCTCGTGCTCTGGGTTCCAACCGGAGAATCTGGCGAGTTTGCGATCAAGGGCACCAAGTCAGGAAAGGTTGAAAATGGCGATGGCTGCTCGGGAATCAATTTCAAGCGTGAGAAGGATTATCTCGTCGTGAACTTCTCTCAGGCCAAGGGATTGAGCGTCTTGCGGCTCGATAATGGAGTGCGCGTGGTTCTGCTCGACAAGGCCGCCGCCTACCGCTTCTGGGCTCCTGCATTGACAGATGATCCTATCGTGCAAGAGACCGAAACTGGTGAGTGCTACTTCATACGTAGTACACTGTCATTTCATACTAATGGTCACAGTCCTCGTCCACGGCCCGTACCTTGTCCGCTCCGCCAGCGTTTCCAAGTCCACATTGGCGCTCCGAGGAGACTCGGTTGAAAAAACCACACTAGAAATCTTTGCGCCTCACAGCGTGAGGAAGATTACCTGGAACGGGAAAGAAGTCAAGACCTCTCAGACCCCATACGGCAGTCTCAAAGCGACTCTCGCCGCGCCACCAACCATCAAGTTGCCCGCTCTTACCTCCTGGAGATCCAACGACAGCTTGCCGGAGCGGCTTCCATCGTACGACGATTCCGGCCCAGCCTGGATTGGTAAGATTGAATCCAATCGATCAGACCTGACGAAATCTAATACGTTCCGCAGAGGCAAACCACATGACCACATCTAACCCCAGTCCACCTGCAACCCTTCCAGTCCTATACGCAGACGAGTACGGTATATCAACCCCTGTCTCCCTATACCATCACTGGTTTAACCCGCATACAGGCTTCCACAACGGCGTCCGCCTCTGGCGCGGCTACTTCAACGGCTCTGCTTCCGGAGTCTTCCTCAACATCCAAGGAGGAAGCGCCTTGTACGTCACCCTCCCCATCCAATCCCCTCTCAACCCTCTTTGATTTATCAAAACTAACAACCTCCCTCCGCAGCGGTTGGTCCGCCTGGCTCAACGGCCACTTCCTCGACTCCCACCTCGGCACCGCAACAACCTCCCAAGCAAACAAAACCCTTACCTTCTCATCCTCAATCCTCAACCCCACCGAAAACGTCCTCCTCATCGTCCACGACGACACAGGCCACGACCAAACAACCGGCGCCCTCAACCCGCGCGGCATCATCGAGGCCCGCCTCCTCTCCAACGACACCTCGTCCCCCGCCCCCGGATTCACCCAATGGCGCATCGCCGGCACCGCAGGCGGGGAATCGAACCTCGATCCCATCCGCGGCGTCTTCAACGAGGACGGCCTCTTCGCAGAACGCATGGGCTGGCACCTCCCGGGCTTCGACGACAGCGCCTGGACGCCCGAGAACTCAACCACGTCCGCCTCATCGGCGTTGAGCTTCACAGGCGCAACCGTCCGCTTCTTCCGCACCGTCGTCCCCCTCGATATCCCTGCCGGCCTGGACGTCTCCATCTCCTTCGTGCTCTCGACGCCCTCGGCTGCGCCCAAGGGGTACCGCGCGCAGCTGTTCGTCAATGGGTACCAGTATGGTCGGTACAATCCGCACATCGGGAACCAGGTTGTGTTCCCTGTTCCGCCAGGTATTCTGGACTACCAGGGTGATAACACGATCGGGTTGGCGGTCTGGGCGCAGACGGAAGAGGGTGCTGGCATCCAGGTGGACTGGAAGGTGAATTACGTGGCGGATAGCTCGTTGAGTGTTGCTGGATTTGGGAAAGGCTTGAGGCCGGGTTGGACCGAGGAGCGGTTGAAGTTTGCCTAGTTTGCTGAGTATTGAAGAGTATACTATGACTAGGGTAGTTAATTATCTGTGTTATGCAGGTTAGGGCTGTTGGTCGTTGAATCATATAATTGAAATAAATTGTATCCTGGCCGTGTCATGTGCAACCAAGTCATCTCTGATCACGAAAAATACAGCATGTAATCATAAAAATACGTCGTAAGTTGAAGTATATACACAATGTCTAAACCAAGAAGCGGAAACCTCTGGAACTGGCCTGTCCAGGAACACCGCCATCGTTGAGGGCATCACCCCGGTCAAGCTTCTTGTTCAGACGGACAAGGATGATTCGGAGAATAGTGGCAGAGAGAATAGCAATAAATGCAGTAACGCAGTTGACACTCATGGCGGTGACTATAAAGTGGTCAGAAAGAAATGATCATCAAATGATAGAAAAGTATTGGGACGTACTGAAGCGAGGCGCATCATGGTCAGGGTACATGTAACTGGCGTAGATACTGCTGGCATTGCTGACCATGTTGATGGCAGCCAGTGCGGCGGCACGCTTGGATGCAGGACGAGGAAGGGTGCTCGAGATCCAGCCCAGGGCCACGACGTAACCGGCGTACAGGGAGGGAACCATCAGCATCATGGAGAGGTAGCGGGGAGCTACACCGGTGGTGGTCGCGGCGATGATGAATGCGGCCACCGAGATGTACAGAGGAGCTGTGATATGGAAGTATTTCTCGCCTGTACGGTCCGAGTGCCAGGCATTGAAGAAGGCACTGATGACTGCCAGGCAGTAAGGTGGAGCGGTAAGGAGGAGAGTCTCGATCCGGCCGTAATTGAGCGTTTCCACAACAGTTGGGAAGAAGTTAGTCACGGAGGCGGAGGAAACGATACACAAGATGTGTAGCATCTACACGGTAACGCCACGGTTAGTCAGTGCCGTTGCGAGTTAGGGGTAAAGAATAGCGACTTACAAGAATCCAGGTCTTCAAGTCGGTAAAGGCGAGTTTCGCGCCATGAAGGAGTGACTGTTGTTCGGAATCAACCCAGTCGTCTTCGCCGATGTCTTCCTCGAGACGCCATGTAGCGAGTTGCTTTTCCTCTTCCGAAAGCCATGTAGTGGTACGAGGGAAGTTGGGCAGGATCCACATGGCAAAGAACGCAACCACTATAGTAATAGCTCCCTCAATGATGAAGAGCCACCGCCTAGAGAAGTCAGCAAGACTGCACAACTACACTCGATCGTGCAAAAGAAATAGAGAACCATACCAGGCTCGAAGACCCTTAACATGCTCCATACCATCGGTGATACCAGCAGCAATGAGACCAGAGAAAGCGCCGGAGATCAGAGAACCGGAGTAGAGGGCGGCAGTGCGGAATCCCAGCTCTTTACGAGTGTACCAGGCACTCAAAAAGTAAAGGCAACCAGGCTACAACTACAGTCAGCAAGGGAATCACGGTCATGGTACCATTGTTGTCAGAGAGACGTACGAAATAAGCGGCCTCAACGAAACCAAGGAAGAAGCGAGTCACAACCAGTCCAGCAAAGTTCTGAGCACCAGCTGTGGCCGTAGAGATGATACCCCAAAGAATCATCGAACAGGGGAGGTAGATGGCGGGCTTTCCGAACTTGTTCAACATCAAGTTGGATGGAACTACAACGGTCAGTTTATGGTACAGGCTTAGTCTATTGATGACACTTACTCTGCATCAGCAAATAACCAACAAACAGAATACTGACGGCAGTTTGGTATTGGTTGCTGTTTTTCTTCATGCCCAGGTCCTCTTCAAGACCAGCAAGCCGAGCAGCTGCCTGGAAGGCGTCAGTGTTTTCGTGCGAGTAACCCGAGAAACGTGACTTACAATGTTGTTCCGATCCAGATAGTTGAGAATGTACATGATAACAAGCATAGGAAGAAGACGAATATCAATCTTGCGAACGAGAGCCCTTTCGGCCTTCTGGCGCTCCTCTGGACTAAGGCCAGCGACATATGCAGGAGCCTCTTTCCTCGGATTGGGTCTGTCGGCGTTGGCCACGACTTCTACATTGTCGACGTAGCTCTTATCGATCCCGTCCTCGGGATCGTAGGAGTTTCTGGGAGACATGATTTTTCGGCTCAAGTATGTAGGAAGTAGAATGGAACAAGGGAGAAGAGGGTATCACAACAGGAAAGGGAAGAAAGGACGATATTTCAAAAGAAGGGGAAGAAGAAGCGATGATAACAGCAGGATGAAGGGGATCAAAAATCAGGATCCTTGCTCCCTTTTGTGGGAGAGCCTGGGGCACCACGCGTGGAGCAAACAAGTTTCCCGATTTTCAACTCCCAATCCCGGGATGACCAACCAAACGGAGGACTAAGATGCGGACGGGGTCCGAGTCAATGGGGTCCCCGGAAGGCCGACACGGTTGAGACGGGGATTCTACCAATGGGGAAGTCGGAGGCGGGGGAGAAGCAGAAGTTGCAGAGCTGGGGAGGAACCGAATAGTAGTAGTGTGGAGTGCAAATCAAAACCGAGGAACAGAGCCGTGGGATGAAGAGAAATGTCGGTACGTAGCGTTTAGCTCAACCGGATGAAACTGTAGCAGCTGGTCAACACCATAGAATTTGCCATCCTGCGGGGAAGAGGGATGGGGATATGTGGAGTTACAGGGACTGGAGATGAAGTATTGGACCATTTGGACATACTCGGAGACAGTTAGCGTCGTGCAATCAAAGCATGACTGGGTGGTTGAGCTCTTTTCTCGACAAAATGATTCCACTCCGCGTGGGGGTTGCCGCGTGGGAGACTCGTGGGGGTCATCGGGTTTAGCGGGCAAAAGGACCCGAAAAAAGTTATCATCTGCGTGAAAGAGGCGGAAAAAGGGGAAGAATATCGGGGGTAGTTTGCTCATCCCCAGTAGGTAGAATATTTTGTATTTTACCCAAACGCAGATGATGAATTGATGGGATGAACTCAGAGAGTCAAGGTAAGTGACAGTGTTAAGAGCATGGGGTGGGATGGAGCATTAGGTAAGCGTAAGTCGGCTAACTAACCCGACCAAAGCCAAAACACCGCACGGGCCGAAAGACACCTGGGCCACACACTTAGTTCATTCTCCTCGTTGACAGGTGACACCACACAGAAGCCATCCGGAAAACTCATCAACCCTTCGTCATCTTCTACCGGTTTAATATCCCTCCGTCGCTCGTCGTTCTAGCTTTGAAGAGGATGATTCCGGTTAATTTTCGGGAGCTCGGGATTCAGCCAAGCCTTCTCTGTTCCATCCCGTAGCCAAGGAATTGCCCAGACAAGTAAACTATCGCTGCTCTGATACGACGCAGAGCTCCATTTTGAAGACACCGACCCTTTGAGAAAATGGATCATCATTTCCAGTGTTTCTCCTGCTCAAGTCTTCAATCAGACGCTTGACAAGGGAAATTTCTGTGCTTCCTAACTCGCGGGACACCTGCGGATACCTGCTGTTACTCCAGTATAGACACCGAGAGGATATCCTGAGCATGGAAAGTCCATGCAGCTGAAGTTCAGGCAGTTGCTACAGCTAGAGATCTATTCACAAGGATGATCTATTGAGCTCATGTACCCGAGGCAAAAAGATCTCAGTGCCAACTGCTTGGACCCAATGCTTTGTGATGACCAGATCGCCAAATGGACTATAACGCAGCTTTTGCCCCTTGGGGATTCTGTCCATCATATGAATGCTAACCAGAAGGCTTGACCGTCGTGCTCCTGAATCAGCTGCCGCGGTCCCAGTAGGCAACTGCCGACTACCATTTTTTTTTCTCAGACAAGACGGGCACAGGATGGGCAGTGCCGATGTACGTGCTCTCACAAAGGCCCTCATACCATGATCTAAAGCTGATCTTCTTTCTGGAGATAGGTCGAACAGCAATGAACGCCTATCACAAGTCTCGAGCCACAAGCCAACGCCAGTTCAAATCAGTAATTTGATGCCGAGCTTCTCAAAGAAAGAGACTTGTCGTCGGAATGCCGATATACCATGTCAGTACATGCCATGGTCAACAATATAGCACGGACCGCAGTGCCAAGTGTCTCCCATTTATCAACGTAGACTGTCAAGTATCCAAGAGATGGGTAACACGCCAACAATTGAACGCTAGAGAAGGCATACCCAGACGACAGAATCAGAACATAGCATTTGCGTAGTACGCTCATCTAGTCAAGGACCAAGGTGTTCATATCTTCCTTAATTCTAGATAGTTATATAGATAGCACAATCCGCGAAACCAACCAGGGTGTCAATGGTCTGACCACGCATAGTTAGATGAAGCTACAGAACTTTGGGAGTGGTCGCTCGGGGACTTGCTTGTCATGAAAAACTGCTTGATTTTATCACTAGTGAAGAGCTTCAAGAATTACCAGAACTGCCAGACTTGATTCTCGGCTTCGCAAGACAAACTACGCGTAGATAGGTGATATATGGCGTAGGCTTGGGGCTCTTACCCACAGCCTACCGCAGCAGTGATGGGAAATACGTTAACCACGTCGCACGCTCAAATAGCTTGCTGTACGACAAATTACTTGTTATTGCCCTCTGGAGCATCGCTCAAATGAATCATATTGAGTTCTTGGCGCTATCGCTTCGCATGGCGACTAGGGTCCTCTCTTCTTCCGTGTACTCGAAAGGCGGAAAGATTAGCGAATAAAAGAAAACAAGGACATCATGATGCAGAAAAAAAAGAGTCAAGCACGCCACAAGATTGTAAGAAGAGAAAAAGAAATGACTTTGCATACCCATACCATCCAACCAGAGTTATTACCGACAAACACTTATGCTCCTAAGAAATAAGAGAAGGAGAGGGGGGCGCCGGGAGCGACACGCAAGTGAATGAGATACACACAGGACCAAATGCAAAAATACAGGAACAGAGAATGAAGGGTAGGCTCCCTTCGGACATTCAGTTGGCGAGACATAAGAGGATAACAGCTCCAGGATGCTGTACAACAGACATACCATGAGGGTGAAAAAAAGCATATGCTGAGAGCGAGACTGGAAACGTGGTATTAATCAAAGAGATGATGCTGTCCAACTTTCACGCTTTCAAGAAAGAAAAAAGTCGAAAAGGCAGAACAAGTCCGATGCAAGGTCGACCGTAGACAGAGGGAACTAGACGGGAACAGTAGGCGCAAAGCGTTTCGAGTGGAAAGCAGATCTAGCAGTAGATCATGGACCGAAATCCAGCGTTGTAAATCGGATCAATGTCAGATGATCGAGAGTTTGATGTATGAGTGTGGCTGTAAATGTCTAACACTCGATCGTCTCTTTGGTCCAATGCAAGGATCTTCGTGCGTCTGAGAAAAGCCGAGCTAGAGAAAAACAGAAGTACCTAGAATGTTGTTGTCGCCATAACACCCACAAACGCAGAACAAGGAGATATGCGAGACGGTGAATAATCGAAGACAGAATAGTGCAAGTGCGGCAGGTTTTGCGAACGCTCGACCATCATGCATCGGTCTAAAGAATAAAACGCATGCAGTGCTTGAGGTTTAAAACGCTAGTTGCAAAAAGCCACACCACTGGTAGGTCTAGCTATGATGGCTGATGTGCAATATGAGACATGCCAGACAATGTCGTCGCGGGCGAGAGCCTCACAGGAAATGAGTGTAAATCTTCGAGGTCTCGTGGACTTCCATTTCCTATGATTGAACGTTAGAATACAGGTCGGTACAACTGCTTGAATGGACATGTCTCTGCCAGGACTCACCATCTTGAAATTGTTGAGTTCTTCTTTGATCTGTTGAGCGAGAAGTGGTGTCAAGCGGTTGCAGGTTGCAATGTCTCCTCGACGATCGTACTCTCCACTGGGCCATGTCTCATGAAACTGAATGCGAGGACTGAAGACAAGAGTCTTTGTCGCCACGGGTTGCGGCGTAGCAGGTGAGCTTCGAGACTCGGGAATTCGCCCATCCGATAAGAAGTAGTCTTCGCCAGCTATCTTAACGGCCTCGGACCGTCGGTTACCAGCTCGAGACGGGTCCTCAGGTGTACTGGGAGCACTGGAATGCGGCGAGTCACTGCCGACCAGTGTCTGTGGTCCCTCAGCGGCTCTGTTGGGGCGGGTCGTACCTGCGGGGTCCAAATTGGTCTCTGGAGCACAAGATCGTCAACGAACTGAAAAGCAACACATATGATACGAGGGCACAGCGGCTCTACTCACTCTTGAGGATGCCCTTCCTGACCGCCGCCAGAACCTCTGCCCGTTCCCTGTCCCCACCCACAATGCTCTTACGCGATTGGGATCTCTCGGCCCCGACATCTTCCTGAGCTGAAGGATTCTGGGTGCTACTTTCCATCTTAGGAAAAACAGTGCCTCCGCGAGGTAGGTCCTGGGGATCTGCGTTGGCAGTCACGCTCTTCCTCTCCGCTTCGACGTTGACCACTGACAATTTGGGTGCCATTGGCTCCACATTTCCGCCATCGTTCGACGAGATGCTCACGATGGACTTGGGACGGAACAGCCCGACGAGTGACCGAGTGGACCTCTTCATACCCTTGCCCATCTTCCGCAGCATTATTGAAGCTGATGACGCTGTGGATGACACCGAGAGATTATCTGTGGAGCTATTGAAGAAGCGGCCTTGATGATGCGAGTAAATGCTCTCACCCAACCCACTGGCCTCCTGCTGTTCAGCGATCGCGGCCTGCTCAGGTCCTAACTCTTCTTTCAGTAGTTCTCTTCGGGACTTCTCTGCAGCAATAGCCTCTCTCTTCGCTGGGCTATTCTGCGAAGACGCCTTGAGGAGCTCTGAAGCGCTTCCGAAAGAGAAGGCTCTCCTCAACCGAGACTTTCCGGGCCGTTTGAGCTCGTTCTTAGTGATGTCAGCCAGTCGTTGCGAAGCAACGCTCTCAGTGGGAACGGGCGACTGCTTCTCGTTTGGTGACTGAGAGTCGGTAGGTGTAGGTTCTGCAGAGACTGGTTGCGACAACGGCGAGGGCTTTGTTGATCGCTTGGTGTCGTCCAACTTGTTCGTATTCTTATTTGAGGGTGCAGCCTCCGTCAATCCTGCCTCGCGTACCTTGGTGCATGTCAGCACAAGAAGAATTTCAGAGAGGGGAGTGTATCTTACGGAGGACGTAGATGAGT